ACTACACTGACACATTCAATAGAGTCTGCTCCTGTTCATTACAATGAAACGTTCCCATAATCTAAGCAGGACAGGGAGTTATAGTTTGAATTAACCCAACAGTTATATGGAAGTGTTTGACCTGTCTCCAGCTGAGCATCTTGTCATTCAGAGAAGACAAAAAAAGGATGTTTATATATTGATTCAGACATTTGTTTCATTTTTAACCAACATACAGCTTCTTCCTGGAACCAAAACGTACTCGATGTTTCCTTTGTTATCTTCCTTTTAACTGAATGAAAATATGTGCTCATACTAATCTGCGTCATCACCTCTTTCTGCCCTCAGGTGTGGTTTCAGAACCGCAGGGCCAAGTGGAGGAAGAGGGAGAAGTGTTGGGGGCGCAGCAGCGTGATGGCAGAGTACGGCCTGTATGGAGCCATGGTCCGCCACTCCATCCCACTGCCCGAGTCCATCCTCAAGTCAGCCAAGGAGGGCGTCACAGACTCTTATGCTCCGTGGTTACTAGGTAAATAGATGCAGATATATGTTTGTGTATTTGCATTTTTTGTACAGAAGACATTTTGTTCAAATAATAAAATTAGTAACACTTGTGCTTCTGTTGGACTGTTCTATAGTGTATGACTTCCTATTGATCTTGAATTGTATGCTATTCTGTAACCGACACAACACAGATTAACAATTGCTTGTGGCAGAAATGTCTGGCAAGGAAGTAGTAAGTAATTTTACACATACAGTAGCACCATCATCTGTGGCCCAGCATTTTAAAAAGTGTTGAAAAGACGTTTTAAGACTCCCACATATATATTTTTTTTTTACAGATTCTCTATCGTCATTTCCTACAACTGAATATAAAAGTCCTCTATATTCACCTTTAATATCAATATTAAGGCTCAATATGTGAAAATCAGCTTTGCAGAGTTACTTCTTCTTTGGCTGACCGAGCCACACATGGGCAGAGCACTTTTAAAAATCTTCATACAGATAAAATGTGTTTTTTCTAATCATTCTTGTGCCCAACGTTTATTACTGCACTGCAGGTCCAAAGCCAATCCGCTCTTGTGTAAATGCAATTTTTCTCTTAGTCTGTCTCATTGTGTTTGAAAATTGGGGATTAAGATGTATTCCGACAACAGGAAGTGGGAGCTAAACCCGGCTCATGTTAGCAGCCAATAAAAGTGTCAGCATGTCAATAAAAGGTAGCAGTCGATACAGTGATAATCCTACTTAATCAGGACAGATTAGACCAAATGTCCTCTCTCGCCTCATGTCAATTGATTAGTTTAAATCAATTAGGTGACTCTAATTAAATATCCATGCATCTATGCCCTTCCTTCTCTTGCGCACTTCAATATCAAACACCTCAGTTCATGCAAAATGCAATGCTTATGAGGGAATCTGTGCTCTTTCATGCATCAATACCTCAAACTACACCAGTAAACACTAACATAAAGATACTTACAAGACAACTTTTAAAGTCCTCATCTAATCTGAAAAATGCATGTCCTTTTTCCTTCAGGTATGCACAAGAAGTCTGTGGAAACCTCACACACCTCTCCTGGGAATCCCAGCAGCCTGTCACCACCACCGCCACCGCTACCGCCACAGGAGAAACCAGAGGACATAGCGATGGAGGAAGAGAAGAAGAAGCAGATGAAAGACACTAGCTCAGTGATTTCTAAAGAGGAACTGAGGGAGAACAGTATTGCTGCACTGCGAGCGAAGGCGCAGGAGCACAGTGCCAAGATGCACGGGACAGTTTCTGACAGAACGAATGGTCACGTAACGCACAAAGAGGAAGTCGAGGACAAGGTGGTGGAGCGGGAGACGGCAGAGGTGGAGAGGAGTAACTGAAAATGAAAAAGGGGCTGCTGGATACAGACTGATGGTGGAACACATGCAAAGTGGAGGTTGCAAACATTTCACAGAGGCAGGAGACTTTTTCATTGGTTGAGTTGCACCTTGGTGCATGTGGAGTCACCGCTTAACTTCATACCTGCAGAACAGATATTATAAATGTGAGAAATGATGAGAAAAAGGTTCTTTGGCTCCAACAATTTGATGTTAATTAACTCAACCAATGAGATTATTTGTGTCGCTGCTCTTAGAAATATTTGTACAGCTAACTCCAAACTACACAATACCTTTTTCATTTCACCTTGTGGAGGAGAGTCATTGAGGCTCAAGCACGGAAATGTTCCCCCTAATATTTATCGCAGATGTTTTGATATGGAGCCGCATTCAAAAAAATATATATTTATTTTCTTTAAAACAGATTACAGTTCTGTAACATGGCAGCTACTTTATGCAACAATGTGGATAAAGATTGGTTTTGGGAAGCAAGCATTCAGTTGACCCTGCTCCAGAGGGTGCTATTAAGGAAATAACTGTGACCTTTGACCTCCTTGTGATGACTCATTTCAGTTGGGTAACTGAAAAGTACAGTTGTGTATTTTGTCCTGTGAAAAGGTTACAACCCTAAAATCTTCTGTTTTCTTTCAGCTGTTGCAATATTTGTGATGTACATAGTGAAAATAATGTCCAATAGTTAACACTGTACTATTATGTACAGTTAATACTGATTCTCTGTGTTTGTCTCTGTATAAATGTAACAGTAGCCCATAATTAAAAGTTACTGATATTTAAAGCCCCCCCCCTCCTCCTCGTTTGTTTTTATTGTTTACTTGGATGTTTGAGCTTCACTGTGCAGAATGGTGTATGAGTATTATTCATCATTCAAGTGTTTTTATGTCTTGAATCGTCTAGAGAGGACCTTTAAACAAAGAAATTCTGCGTGTTGCGCAAAAAGAAACTTTTTGCAACCGATGTTGAAATTTTGGTTGCAGCCTTAAATACTTTCCAAAAACAGAATAAAGTGTCACCACATGGGTTTGTACCGCCTTTTAACGCACCACGCCTCCAGCCCCTCCTCTCCGTTTGGAGTTTCCAAGTTTTCCCTTTCACTTAAGTTGAGCAGAGTAACTTCCAGAATTGCTTAAAGGCTGCAGTATCCGAGACGGAAATGCGTTGCAGACCATAAATTGGTGTAGCGCAGAATACTTTCACTTTCACGATGTGGCTGCCCTGTGGATGCGCTTCAAAGTGCGTCTCCTTAAGTCGTCGGGTTTTCAGATCTTATTTCCATGTTCTGGGTCGAAGGAGATGTAATATTGCGGCGTTTATGCCGGAGTCTGCGGGGTTTGAAGGGGTGTCGGACTGCTCGGCGCTGCAGGAGTTTTCCGTCTCCAACAGTGAGCGCTTCTGGGCCGCTGCGGCGCGCCAGAGACTGAGCTGGATCAGTCCTTTCCACACGGTCCAGGACTGTGACCTGAGCCGAGGCAGGATTAAGTGGTTTGAGGGAGGAAAGCTGAACGTGTCCGGTAAGATTATCTTCACATCTAATCAGTTAGTACGACCAGTAATTGGATTTATACCAAAAAAAAAAAAAAAAAGATGGTCGTTAGAATAAACTGAAGTCATGATCATGCTGCTTTTTGAGGAACACTTTTAAACTAGAGAAGACAACTTCTGAAGACAATTCAGAGTGGCTGTTAACTGACGCTAAACTGCATTGTTGGCTTTAATTTTTATGGAGAAGCAGCTGAAGGAGTATGTAGGGTTGGAAAAGTGGAAAGGGGGTTAATGAATAGGAATAAGGTTGAACATTTTGAGTATATCAGATAGGTAAGAAAGAAGGTGTATGAAAGATGTGGAACATAAGGTTTGAATTGAGTTTCTGTAAAGTATGATTGAGTAGACTAATGTTAAAAGGAGTATGAACAGTTGGAAAGGTGGCAGGGAAGGGATGAAAGATGGAAGATATACTGTAAACTGGGATCTTAACATTGTTTGGATAATGGCTGGCAGCTATACTAACTAACTGCATTGCTGGAGTCACTTTTAAATTAGAAGTGAAACGTATCCTAGTCTGAATTATGTGGAACATTAGAAGGTTTGAATTGAGTTTTTGGCTTAAAGTAAGTAGATAAGTCTTGTCTAAGATCTGAGTCTCACAGCAAACTACACTAATTAGAAAATCTACATCAGCTATAATCAAAGGTTGCCATGGTGATGGTAACTCCTGTTTGACTCCTGGCTCAGAGAGTACATTTCATAGAGATTTTAGCTGAGGCACACCTCTTATATCCCTGCTTCTACCTAAAAGACAGTAACTTCTATCACCTAACTGGATATATTCTAAGAAATAGGAGACCCTGCTGAGCACAATGTGTGAAATGTGTGTGTGTGATGTCAAAAATGTGACTATAGGAGCAGTTAAGAAAAGTTTCTGTTTCCCTCCTAAAATTGATGCTCTCGTTTAATAAGGGAGTCAATGCAGTTGGTTGGTGCCCCTGTAGGGGAAATTCTTCCATAAT